TGAAATCTTCAATTCTATATAACTGAAGATTATCACAACTATATTTTTACAAATTTAATCCTCTTTTGGTTTGTTTCCTGTTCATTTATGATTTCAATTAACTTTACAAACTAGAATATATCATTGGTGGAAGCTCTTTGGTCCAGAGATTAACCAAATATTTAACTAGTAAAGTTTACTTTTGAGTTTAATTCTGATAAAATGTGAATTGTTGATGATTTTTATATAGATTTGTTCTAGGTTGTATTTTATTTTTGTAAAACGGATAAAGTTATCTATTACGAAGTAATCCATGAAACCGTTCACCGTGCTTATGCTACATGGAATTACATTCAGTTCGCTAGAAATGATAAAAATCATCGCTTAGAATTAAAAGAATTCGAATTATCTTCTAATATCAGACATTAAGCTAATGGGCCTGAATGTCAATCATACACTAATGGGCTTGAAAGTATGTTGGGCTAAAGAAATCCTTCTCACCTAATCGCTGTCTAAATTTATCGATACCTATTGAACCGACCAAGATCATCACTAGGAAATTTATTAGATTTTTTTTTTCCAACAGAGTACAGTAAATGATATTTTATAAATTTGTAATCATAAAAGGTCAAATAAAGATTAAGAAAAGAAAAGGTGATGTATAAACTCTGACGCCCCAAAATGGAATGTGATAATTCATATTCGAATAAAGTAATTTGTCTTTGAACAAAAAAAAATAAAATAAAGTAATTTGTCAAAATCTACATTTCGCTTTTTTTCTATCTATATTTTTCCAGGAATCTCCAGCTTGATTTTGAGATAAGTATTAATTTATATGGTAAAGGCTGTTATCAAACAACGTGGACCCTACTTTGCCAGCTCAGAGGTAATGCTATTACCACGTGGCTTACATATATTAGTAACAAGGAAATGATAATTCTTCGCTTCACTAAACCAACCAATAGCAAAATAAAAACGCTATTGTCAAAATTAGAAAAGACAAAAAGAGAAACGCTAATGAAAGACATCGTTTCTCTTAAAATGAAACGCTAAATAATGACTTAATATGATTTTAAACACCGCCGCTAATTACCCTACAAAAGTATTCGTTAACGAGATGTATTTTTAAAATCAAATTTTACGATAAGATATAGATAGATATGAAAGTGGTGGGTTGATCCCTGATGTTCATCTTCATCGTTGGATTCTTTTGTTTTTTCGTTTCTATTATATTTTAAGAATATGAAAAGACGTATAATATGCACAAGTTGGTAGTCGATATGATCGATATAATATTAAATTAGCTTTAAAAAGTTTAGAATATTATATCCATGTTCTTATCGATCGAACTACCTTTTTAAAAATTGTAAGTGAGTTCTGGTTAAAAAACTATGATTAATCTTTGTTGTTCGATTCATATCGCTAGTTTCAATGCCGTCTYACGTTAGAAAATCTTTGTTAGAAAATCATATACATATATGATATATCTAATCTTATGAAATTACTCTTTTTTAATTCCATCAGATAGTATATACTTATTACAGCTTTATAAAGCCATGAAATAATAACGATTCGATGTAAAAGATCGATCAACCCTTTTGATAGCCGAGACCCAAGATTTGAGAAAGGCATTAAGTATATTGGTATTGTCATTTTTTTATTCAACAAACCATTAATTAAACTCACAAGTTATAAGTTGAAACCTATACTATCTTGAGATTAAATCCACGTCATCAAATTCTTTATACACTTTTGTCTTTTGATCTAAATTTCCGGGTGTACACAAATTATGATATATATGCATGACATACACGTTATGACATACTATGCATGACTACATCACGAAAAGGAGAAGAACAAAGATTAAAAAACAACTTTGACCATTTCTTTATCTTTTGATGGATCTTTATTCGAAGAGAAACAATAGAAATGGAACTACTTAGCACCAATATACCCCGTGACACGAAATCTATTGAGTGAAAGAAACCCCAATTCCTTCTTCTACTCGCTTAGAATTATTTATGTCATTATGTATAACTAAATATGATCTCATTTCACTTTTTTTTTTATAACGGAACATTTTGAACCGAGATTCAAACTATTTTTCGACACATATTAGGGATTTGAGTATTTTTATCATTTAAGTCATCAATATGATCAATTATGATTCAAATCACAATAAAATGATTGGATTATTGGTTATTCAACCTAAATGTAATTAAACCAATGAATTAACCTAGCGCATTAGTGGTAAAATGTTCTTAAATCACGTACAAAGAATACTGGGCGAGAAGTAAGGTTGTGTTATATATAATATGGACTCGCTCAGATTTTAGATTTTCTTCTCGCACTATTAACTTTGAATTTACAATCTGATGAATTAAATTAGAACAATAATGCGAATAATCGAGAGTCTGCATCATAAGCTCGTGTTTATTATTCGTCTCTTTCTCTGATCTGTAACGGGCTTTTTGACGAAGAAAAATATCCCGCCTAACTCAACCCGTCAACTTAAGACACGTGTCGTCTTGTGGTAGTTCTATCCGTATGAAAAACGCTTTCCATGTTCCCATCCATTGAACTCACCCTATCTCATTCACTTACACGTGTATTTTCTTTCTTTCCGAAATTAAAAAAATACAATTTGGCACATACCCATTAAAAAATAATACTCTAATACTTACGACAAAAAAAAAAAGAATACAAATGATAAAATACTTTTTTTTTTTGGGTAAAGGTAATGATAAATACTTGATTTATACAAATACAACGTTCCAAGAAATTTACCGCATAAATTTGCAGAATAATCACGAGTCTTAAGACTCTTAACAATCACAATACATGCCTTTGAACGTATGAAAATTCGTAGTTAGTATTTTGTAGAAAAAATCTCAAACTCATTCCTAACACTTGGGAAAACCTTTGACCGAGGAAAAAAACATTAAAAATGATACGAGGCGGCACTGTAACACACACAATATAACATATAAAATCAGTATTTTATTATTATTACGATCAACTTTTTTGTCTAGTATAGGTTCAACGAACCCAAAGGGATCGCATAAATCACGACGCTCTAATTGATCCACGTGTCATGTTAATCACAAAGTGGGTCCCATGTTGAGGCTGCACGTTAACGAAGATTGGGCGGCGATATAGAAGTAACTCTCTATATATATATACACACACACGAGTAGCAAAGCTTCAAATTCTTAATTTGAAAAACACAAAAAACAAACAGAAGAAAAATCAACGAAATATCAAAAAGTGTAGATATTTATTTATCTCAGAGAGAGGAGATAAGAAAGTAAAAGAAAATGGGTATCCAAGAACTTGACCCGTTAGCCCAACTAAGCTTACCACCGGGTTTCCGGTTTTACCCGACGGACGAAGAGCTCATGGTTGAATATCTCTGTAGAAAAGCCGCCGGTCACGATTTCTCTCTCCAGCTCATCGCCGAAATCGATCTTTACAAATTCGACCCATGGGTTTTACCAAGTACGTTACCTTAACCGGCCCGGTTTATCTCTCAACCAAAGATTCTTTTGTACTTTTGTAGATG